TGGAGGAAAACGGTATCTTGTTTTTGGAGGAAAATGGCTACGGCCCTAAAAATAACTCTTGAAAAAGGTAAAAAAAACGGTCATGATTAAACATGAAATATTATACGAAGTTTTACAGATACCTATCAAAAGTTGAGCTTCTATAACGGAACTAGATATGAATCTCTTCTACAATTTTTACAATAAAACCACTCAGACTAACCATATTCTTTGAACGCRTAAATAATGTTTTATAAGAAAACCGTGGAAAATTACGGCCTGCCTCGACGGCAGCTAACAAAGTTATCTCTTGAGCGTTGTATGTCTAAACGTTTTCCTGTGACGTCTTCTTAATACTTTACTTTATGCGTTTAATACCTATTGGCTATTTAATGATGAATTTTAAGCTGAATGTTGGTGAATTACCCTAGCTGGTTTTTTGGTTAGTTTCATTGTTAAACACGCGGAATCAACATTACTGATGCTTGATCGGCAAAAAATGTATGTTTCCTTGCAGCAATAAGTCACACTATCTACATATAATTAGTAAATAAATAAACCCAACAGTTTTACACATGGCTACGTTGCAATACTGAAAAACATGAGGATACTTACCTGGCTATATAGGCTATATATTATATCTATATGTAAATGTAGGTACTCAAACCTTAAGAAGATGTTAGCGCATTATTTGTTTTCTCTTTTAGGCCTAGCGCAACATAAACAAAACACATTTATATTTTATAGAGTAAAATCACCCATTACACAAGAGATAGTGAATACTTTTTTTTTAAGGAATGACATATCAATTTGTCTAAATATTATCTCTAAGCAATTTAAACATCATTTAAATGAACAACATTTCATTGTTTATTTTGAAAGTCGAATACAAAATCAAATAACAATAAAATATAATATCGATATGTCATTCTCCACAAAAATATTATTCTTTATCTTTTTTGTAACGGGCGATTTTAATTGATACTTACAAAAAAAAAAATAATAATACATATCAGTCTTACGTTTGAAATATGAATTAAACTTTTATTTTGCACACAATATTGACAACCTGGAGAAGTTAAATTTCAAATAAATATGATTTGTACTTCTATGCGAGATAAATTTTAGTCAAATAGTCAACATAATTATTATATCACACAACTTCATAAATAATTGATTTAAAGTGTATCAATATGGATTATGGAAGTAAAATCGTGACGTCACAATTAAGAGTTAAAATCACCATCACCAAGAAATAATGTACATAATTTTGGACAYAGAGACTGATCACTGTAGTACTGTGGTATGGGGCATTTACCAAAAATCTAAGAATGATACCAAATGGGTATTAATTATCTATAGAGATGATCTATCTTGTTTAATCTATGATCCACCAGTGTTTGGAAAGTTGTATGTAATAAAAGATAATTAATTTATAACACCTACTCGTTATTTAGAGATCAAAGTAGCTACTTCATTCGTCACTCAAATAAAACAATGATGAAATTACCTTACTTATCAATGAAAAAAGTAAATTTGTTGCTTCCATATAACATAAATAAAAAAAATACGAGGGTAGTTCTCTAATTTCTAACCAATTGTTGACTGAAAAACAACAGAAATATATAGGAAATTTAGTGTATAGACATAAATGCTAGGATACAGATACTTTAATCAAGATGAAAAAAAATAATAATATAAAATTGTATTTAGAGAAGTCAATTATATAAATGTCCGAGCAAGTAAGAATATGTAATCTAGATCTAAAATATTAAAAACCAAATTGTGACTAGTTRAGATTTTAAATAATATAATCTATTAGGATATTATTTTTTCCGATTCATAAAATTGTAATTCTTGACCCCCTAAGGTCCTAAACAAATTCTAACATATTATATAATGAATTACAAACAAAGTCACCTGTAACCTTTGTTAAGTTAACACAAATATTAACTTCATTTTTTTTATTTTATCGAGAAATAAGATTTTTTTGTTTGGAGAGCTACAATACAAATAAATACAGTTAAAATTGTTTTTATTTAATGAACATTTAACATGTATGTAAAAAAAAAAAATAAACAATTATAAAAACTCATTATTAGCCATCATTGAATGTGTAACTGTAATTGAAAACCAACCAACAATAGTTTTAATTGAAACT